TCCCATTGAAAGAAGAGAACAGAAATGGGTATCCTACACATATAACGGAAGCTACACAAGAAGAATTACGAAACTATTTAAAAATACGAACGTAAGAATAGCTTTTAAAGTAAATCATACATTAGGCAAAATACTAAACCACAAACAAAACATAAATTCTTACGAACAAAGCGGCATATACAAGTTGACTTGCCAGGAGTGCCAACAAGTGTATATAGGTCAAACAGGCAGAAAATTAGTAACACGCTATAATGAACATATAAGAAGTATAAGATTCAATAAAAATGACTCCGCCTATGCTCAACATATCCTAAATAGACAACATCAATACGGCCCAATTTCGCAAGTCATGGAACTGATCGAAGTAGCAAAGAAAGGTAAATTAATGAATATAAAGGAAGAATACCAAATTTACCGCCACTATAAGGATAATAAATTAATAGATGAGCAGAAACAGGCAAAAGAGATCAATAACCAGAACAGCATGTTTGACCTCATTACTACTTGTATAAACACACCACGTCATAACACACAAGGCTTTAAATAACACTGACGTAGAACTCCCACTGCAGTACACAACACACAGCACACAGGAAACATCTAACCATAAGGTAAGCAAGGATCAAATACAACACTAAAATAAATAAATAAAATAAATATATAATAATATATAAAACCTAATATAATACAATATCTTTGCAGCCATACAACCTCAAGCTGACATCTCCCATCTTCGGGATAAATTAACAAGGAGGAGCTTAACATTTCACATCAAATGTTTTAAATTTTTTAAATATTTTAACATTGGCGTTTTAACTTGAGGGCAGTTTCGGATGGAAGGTGAGAATTGATAGTGCATTCAACTATCCTAGCAAGTGTTGTGCTTTTACACGTCGACATATTGTAGCAGTGTCCACACAACAAACATAACTGTGTACATCTTAAACAACGACAGTGTTTTCTTAATTGTACTAAGTGCCTCTGATGATGGTTGTGTCTAACCGAAACATGTAAGGCAGAAGTGATAAAGAAGTGACCTACAAATTGTTACACTCGACGGACTTTCTATTAACTTTGTGAAGAAGAGAAAATTCTTAACCCTATCGCGACTCGAAATCCGAACCCTTGCCCGTCCAGCTCGTAGCCAGTTGCTATACCGACTGCGCTAGCCCGACTCCTATCTGATTCTTTCCTACTTCGTTTAATGGCTCTCTATGAACTACGCGGGTTATTTTCACATTGGCAGGATGTTAAGGGTAATTATGAATGGCCAATTTATATGTTATGCAAGCTGCTGGTGCAGTTTCATTGAGCAGTGTACCTGTTGAGAAGCGGATTAATGTGTTCCATTTGCGAGTGCCCGCTACTGGATTTTGATATGGAGCCACTTGACTCTGCTTCATACCTTCTTACTGGTACCCCACTTTCTAAACATTCATTTTAATATTATCACCCCCAATACTCCTAGATCTCTAGGAGGTAAATGTCCAACGAATATACTGTAACCATATCTAATCTATACGCGAGTGCTGTATATCTTGCCATGAAATTGTTACTGATTTGTTCGTCCTAATAACATCTGGTTAACAGTAGGTCTTATTGTATTCCTCCTAATAAGGCCCAGGCCAGTGTAATTTAGGGAACTAATAAGATCCTCGGAAAGAGCAAGTATAGAAAATTACCCTGGGATTGATAACAAGTCAGCCACATAAGCGCTAATGTAACTCACTCGGACCAACTTGTTATGCTCATGTTGAAAGACGCCAGCTTATAATATACTACTTCTTTACTACAACCGTCACAACACAACTAATATTAATTGTGTTGTGACGGTTGTAGTAAAGAAGTTGTATATTATAACACAGCAGGATGGATGAAATGAAAATTATAATACACCGTATTTTATTCACTACAGTGAATGAAGTCCCACATTATTTTTTTTTCATTTTAACATGTAAATTTTTGTTGAATTATGAGCCATTAATCTCTTCAACTCTTAGCCTACTTTCATTATTTTAAAACATCACATTATGTAGAACCCAGAAATGTTGTTGCCGCTTCTGTTAAGGTCGGTGTTCCCATTTGTATAGACACTATGTCATGGAATGAAAACTGCGTATTTTCCGGTTAGAGGGCGATAGTTAATGAGACACTAGATCTGTGGGATGTAAAATTCTTTATGGCGATCATAAACTACACCTACAAACTCTGCATGAGACAGTTGTTATAGGCCAAAGTCAACACTGGAAACGTTGCGATAGTGCAGTACTCTGAGGTTAAGTTCATATTAATACACGTTCACACACTATTGTGAATTATGTTAAATGAAAAAATTACCTAAAATTGGAATTAAACTCTTCTTATCTGTAGCTGTAGTTTTCATATACTGACTCTCCATTGATCGACTTCAATATATTAAATCACAATTTCGTTGAATTTGCGAGTTGTCAACAATGGAAATTGCTTTCGACAACGGCAGAGACTGCAATACAGACTGAAGCGTAGATACGTGTCACTGCCATCTGGCGGTCTTATCTGTAACTGCTTTTAATGTTGATGAATGCAAACATTAGTTTTTCTATACAGGACTTATGGATTTACCTGAATCTTGATCCAAAATGGAGACGACGAGTTTGCTGCCTTCAGCTGCACTCGTGTCATGCAGTATTTTGCCTCTCGACCATACAAACATTCTATATAATCTCCGACCTGGTAAATAGGACCTGTCAAAACCTGCTCCGGATGGACTCCATCGTTACCTGTGGGAACAAATATAATCTCGCAATGAAACTATGAGATCCTGAATGAAGACCCTAGATAAAGAGGAATGGGAATTTTAGTTCATCCCACGGCAATAAGAAATTATATATAAATTTGCTTACTTGCTGCCTGGGTACATCCAGCAATACAGAGCAGCAGAAAGGCCACCTTCCCCAAAATGTTGGATCTCTGGAAACAGAAAACCATTTTTCTCTCAAAGAAGCACAAAATAGCGCGGAGAAATATAGAGGCCTAAGGGGCAAAATACAGACCATCATTTTCTTTATTTCCTGCTAGGTACTGTAACGGGTAGGTACGATGATATCATGCAGAAAGCGAGATGTTGTGGCCCAAAGGCCGACTCCCGGTAATATGTTAACATAGTATTAACATTTTTGTATTTTTGGGAAAATATTTGTTAGGATAGATTTGGTTTTGGGAAATATTTGTAAGAGGTACGAAAGCGGATGTACGAAAGGTTAACAACTTAAAGGAATTTCTGCGTATGGATTTAGACGGACATTGGCTTGCCGCGAGGGAATGCCGAGTCAGCAGAATGACGTTGAATGTATATCGAACTGCTAACTACAGAATTTACACTTGCGTGACGGGGGGACGTTTGGAGGTAAAAATGTCAACCAAACGGTTTAGCAGTAGAAGGGGGTGTGTCCCCTTAGGATCCCAGCCAACGAGATCACCCACCTTGGGATAAGACGTCACTGGAGGCGGACTTACACCCTCCGGGAAAATAATGAGTAAGCATACATAGGGGTATATAACCCAGAGACCAAATTAGGAAGGGGATTATTCTAACAGTAATTTTGGCCATTTGCGGCCGTAGGCTCTGTCCAAATGGACACCGACTCGGCTCCCGGCAACGCCATCCGTCTGCAGACTCAACGCAAAGTAAGTGGAAACTACTCTTATCGCCATGCGCAATAATTGTAATATTATTAAAGTGTAACTCCTCCAATGGGACTAGAGTTAGGATCGTTAGAAAAAGTGTACAGGGCGTAAGAATGATCAACCGAGTGATGCGAGGTAGCCAAGTGTAATGTGTAACCCGACACCAGTCGGCCCTTTCAGTGTGAGAATCCCAAATGTATATAACTGTATATTGATTGTGTTTTTACTAATATAGTGTAGCATAGGGTGAGGATGTGGGTTTTTGTGGTGATTTTCTCCCCTTCCACATTTCGCACCTGCGCCCTCCTGACAAGCCCGGTGAACAGAGAGCCCCTAGCCATGAAGCAACGATAGAGAAAGCTATTCAGACGTTTCCTTAGTCCATACCCCCGTAACTGGTGGCATAACAGTGGAGACAGTGGTGGGACTACCAATCCACCCCTGTCGTAAGGATTAGTGACATAACACGAGATAAAACTAAAGACTATATATTAGACTGATAGCGTCCTCCCGCAGCAACGAAGAGGGACCCCACCTCTGGGAGCGCGGGATACGACACTACACTGTAACCTTATATTCTGCTTCGAGAAACCGTTTAAATGAACACTGCAAAGAATATGCGGACTACATAACCTTATTACACTTCTTTTATAACGACTGTTTAATTGCTGTCCATACATTCTGTATGACTAAAGAGAAAGAGATACAGCCGAATGGCATACCTAACAAAACAGGATACTTGGGCGTATGGGCAATCGTCCTAAATCAATTAATCATATAGTTGAATCGCCAATGAGTTGACGGCTGGATTTTCTCTAAATGAAGGGCATTTATTCCAACAATTATAAATTGTAACCTCAGTCCAATTCTGCTTCGTTCTCGGGCGTTCTGTCAGCAATGGAACATCGAGGTGTTAGTACAGGCTGCAATCTACGGCGTTGGGAGTCATTAATAAGCAACGACTGGTGAAGACAGCAGGCTGAGAAGACATAGAGGGTGTTATAGTGAATTGTAGAGTGTGTAAATTAGCGATTGCGCTATAATCAGTTATAATTACTTGTTTCAAGAGTACAATAAATCCAATTACACAATCCGAACCAACACGTGTTAACATTAATATTTGGTTTTAATCAATAGTAGAGTGAATTTACCGACTACACAACGTTTTTATTATCACATTATCACTATATGTTTCTACCTTAAGAGGTCATCTTCAGATGTATGAACACGGCTGTACAATTACACGCGGTCACATTCACTTTTCACTCATTCGACCTTGTATCTTTTCCAGACTTACGCTTACTAATATATCGAGTTCTTTTATAAAACACGGGTTATAATTGTTATTATTCTAATTTAGTTGTTTGTAATGGCGCAAGGGTTATGTACAAGTAGATATGTTTTTTGGGTAAATTTGGAATAAGTGTATCTAGACTTTAAGATTAAGAAATAGAAATAATGAAACGTACCAGGAAGCTTGGGTTTGCAAATAAGTGTAACAGGCTATAGCTTAGTAATCAGAATGTTAGCACGACAGCGTAATAACGCTGACATTGAGGAAGAAGCTATATGAAGTAGTCATACACAGTATGGCATGAGGAAAACGCTGAGTCGGAGAGGGCGGTAGACCTGAAAGAGCCAACCCCTTTCGATAAACCAATGAGTGGGCCACACCGACCAAAAATCACTTCAGAATGGGCGGGCCAATACACCCCGGAACCCAACGAGTCAGCAAAAAGAGGGTACATAAACCGTAGAGGAATCAATCAAAAATCTTTTGACTTTTGACTTTTTAATATTATTAATTGACATAGAGTTCAGCCAGAGGCTATCGCTGAGAGAGTGATGGCAGTGAGTAGTAGTTGGTTGGTGATGGCGAGCATCTGTTTCCTCAGCACAAGTAAGTGAACCAACTTCATATAGCCATGAACATTAAGGTGATAATATTAAAGTGCAAACCCCAGGGAGAGAAAGTGAAAACTAGATGGACTAGGTTTACTGAGAAAGAGAGACAGAGGCGTAGAATACCCAACAGCAGGGTGACAGGAGGTAGAACTATTGTGTGTGCTACAGGGTCATAACCAAATGTAATGCGAACCGACGAACGTCGGCAAAGTGTGTATATATGATGTATATAGCGACATAGGTGAATAGAGTAGGATAGAAATGCGCTGTGATATTAATTAAACCTAGCATTCCCTCAAGTGTTACCCTCCTCCCTGACGACTCCAGCCCTCCCAAATCTTCGGCGAATTGCAAGTTAAAGCCAGGACCAGTGACGTAAGCGATCGATAAGTTACTTGAGTTTTCTTGACAGAACAAGATGGTGGCAGCATACTAAACCGGGTGACAGAGCGGGACACCTCCACGCCTCCTGTCACTACGGCGTAACAGTGGAGACAGCGGTGAGATAACCAATCCACCCCTGTCGCAGGGGCGTAACAGTGGTGGCAGCGGTGGGATACCTCCACGCTCCCCCTGCCACCACGGCGTAACATTGTTAAAATTAAAAGTTCGTGAATCGGAGTTCAATTCATGTCACTGGTTTCACTTTCACTTGTTTTTCAGTCTCATTTTACTTACGCTCACTACTGTATCTAGTTCTTTTTAAACTAGTTTAATTATTATTATTGTTAAAAGTTCGTGAATTGAAGTTCAACTTATATTATTGGTTACACTTTCACTTGTTTTGAGGTTTCACTGTTCTTCCGCGTTCTCTGGTGCTGCTGGATCTGTTATGATCGTTGTCGTGATGGGTACTGATGTGTCTTGCTTGTTCGGTTGGTTCCTGTAGGGTATTAGTGGTGGTGGGGACCTGTGGGGTAGGGGTGGTGTTCTGTGGAGATGGGTAAGTGGTTCTGGGATATATTATATTTCTTGCATCTGATTTTGCTTTTATCATAGATTGGGTTATAGCTATTAGTTAAAGCTTGGTTCATTTGTAGATTTTGCTTAGTTAATTCATATATGTAGAAGCTCTCTATGTGTTCAACATCTTCCTTTCTTTTTTAGGTGTAGTATTTCCATTGCTCTGTCTATGGTATGGTAATTGTGCGTTGTGTCCAGTATATGTTGGGCGAATTTTGATTTATGCCCATTCGTTTTTATTTCCCTAATGTGTTCTTTGTATCTTGTTCGGAAATTACATCCTGTTTGGCCGACGTATTTTAGGTCACAATCTTTACGCGTCATCTGGTATACTCCACAAAGGTTGTATTTATCCGTCGTTTCATGTTTTGTTCTTAGAAGCTTTTTTATTGTATTATCTGTCTTGAATGCTACTTTTATGTTGGTGTTACGAAATAGCTTAGTGATTCTTCTAATGCTGGGGCCGAAGTATGTAAATTTGGTCCATTTGGCCTTCTGTGGTGTGTTGTTATTAGGTGGTTTCTTATTATGATCTCTCACATATGGTGAGTATTCATTATTTACAAGTATACGAGTTATAATTCCTTTATTTTTCCTTCGTTGGTGAACTTATATGTATTTATTCGATTGCGAAGGTAGTTGATAGCTGCCTTATGTTCGTATGGATGACATGAAGTATTATGTAGTATGAGGTCGGTAGATGTAGGCTTCCTATATATTTCAAATTTTAGTTCGTTGTTTGTCGTGATTGATAGGTCCAAATAATTTAGTTTATTTTGAGATTGTTGTTCCATTTTGAACTTAAATTTGTGATGTATTGTATTAAATTCATTTAAGGTGCTGCCTTGAGAACTGTTGATAACACAATTGCTCTCGCTTGCTGCTCAGCCGGCTTATATTTCGTTCGCTGTTACCTGTTGCCCGCGTCAACAGCGTCGTTGCGTGCCACGTAACTGTGTCTGCGTATAGCCTAGCAACGCTGTTACCTCCCGCCGTCTTACGTCACCGCGCGTTGCGCGTTACGTCACCGTGCGGAGGAGGGGGGTGACGGAGCGCTGACTCACCCGCCGCGTCACTGCTGGAGGGGGGGGCTTCTCCAGTGCGCAACATGTCACAGTATATTAAATGTGTGATACAGAACTCAAGTACGGAATGCAGGCCATCAAAAGCACATTGTCGCTCTGATGAGGAGATTCAGGATCCTGCTAGGCAGCACGACACTCTCTCTGGATTCCACGATAACGCTGGAATCAAACTCGATAGCAGACATCCACAGCTGTAAAAAGAACTTGACTTTTGTTCGCAAGTTGTCACAGAAAAATGGCTCAAATTTCGCCATAATGTCGATAGAAAGTGAAGTTTTTCTTTCGTCCTAGTACCCATTGGTCAGGAGTCTGGGCGTGCCTTAGAGCCGACCTGGACGCTGTGGAACACAGAGAAATCTTTTGTACCTGAAGGGTGTCGGATTCCAGGCGTCCAGCTCATAGCCCCGCGCTACACTTACTCAGCTACCCCGGTGCTTTAAAATAAATACATTTATAAAGTTATTACTTTTATAGGCCTATAATTTATCATAATATTGCAACGAGGTGTGCTGTTTATCTTATTCATTTTACACTCTTTGGAGCCCATAAGAGTCAAATTCTCAGGAACTACACATGATATATGGGATATTTGTTTTTGTTGGTACAGTATATTATAATGATTATGTATGCTGAAGAATAACATGATGCACTTATGATTTACAACTTACAAAATGAATAAATCCTAAAGTAAGATATTTTATATAATATAGATCTATTTTTTCAGTACTTGCCACTTTCATTGCGTTCTAATATTTTCTGTTAATTCATCGAAATTGCAGAAATGACTTCTAGATATGAATGAAAGCTGAGAATATATTGCATAAGGAATTATGGACATCCGACAAAAGGCGGTCATCAAGTTTCGATCTCGTCATAAGCAAGTCACCTTAAGAAATCAACTTGTTTCCTAATGTTACATGAGATTTCCGACATCAGGCCGATTCCTTGAAACGACATAAACAGCCAAAAATAGATATGGGATTTGGAAAGTTGAATGTCATTAATCTCTACAGAGTACGTTTACTGAAAAACGTGTCAAGATAACCA